CGTCGGCTGCATCTGACTTCAGAACCCCCTTTTTGGTATACTTTGCGTGCCAAGCCCGGCTGCTTGCACGCTTCTGCTCCAACCGGCGCTTCTCTTCTTGCGCTTTACTGTTGGGGGTCATGTCAGCCAAGCGCAAACGTTTTGCAGGCTGTTCCCCTTCACCACCATCAGCTTGGCCCCGTGGCTTCACAGCCACTCCTTCATCACCACCATCAACTTGGTCTGCTGGCTTCTCAGCCACTCCGTGATCACCCCCTGGCTTCTCAGCCACACCTTGATCATCACCGTCAACTTGGACGTCTGGCTTCCCAGCCACTCCTTGATCACCACCGTCAACTTGGACCCCTTCACCACTTTGATCACCGCCTTGTTCATCACCTCCAGCGACTGCTTGATCACCATCACCATAGGGATCATCAGTAATGCTCTTCTCCGGCTCCTCAGGCTTGTCCCAAAATCCCAAGTTCAATGTGGATTCATCATCAGAGCGTCGAGCTGGGCTGTTTTGGACAAAGCGATTCCGATTCCCCAAACCCAAAATCTCGGAGATGGGCTTGGGGTCCTTCGGGCTTGGGGCTTGGAGGGTTGGCTCTGGAGTCCGCGTAGAAGTTTGTGAATCCTCACCCACAGGCTCCACGGGTTTTGCGAGGAAGGCGACTGGAGGTCGTGAAGGTGTTGTCGCCTTTGGCAAATCCGCTGCAATGCTGTGGTAGCCCATTACCCCTGCTTCAGGTTCCTCAAAGATCACCTGTGAATCTTCTTCAACAAAAATACACTGAGAGTCCTCCATCAGCGTGCAAACTAATAATGACTATGTTGACTACTCTTCCATAAAAGTGGCTTGTGCCTTCCAAAACTATCGTGAGTACACATCACATGCCACATCACATGTCACAGAAAACGCTTCCATAAGGGTTTTAATCTTGCCTTGTGACAGAGCCCCTGGATCCAATACCTTTTTCACTCGGATGCCGGACACCAGATTTCCAACTGCAAGTGTTTCAACCTGCAACGCAAGCAAGATTGCGACCTTCCCGGCCCTCAGGTCTGAGATGAAGTGGCCTTGAACACCAGGAAACACAAAATATAAGACTTTAATTGTTGTGATTGTGGTGTTGCTTCATATTCAAAAGTCATGCGACAAGGCCAAGCTAGCCAAAATATCGGTGCGATTGAATGCTAGGCATTCCACAAAATGAGGGGCACCGTTGGAAAACATATGATTCACACGATCCTTTGGACCATACCCTTTGGCACTTTGAGCTGGCGAGCCAGGAACCACAGCGGCTTGGCGGCGCACAAGCTCTTCTCGCTCTTGTGAGCTCTCATGCGCCAGACCTGGAGGACAGGCTCAAGGGCGATTGTGATTTTTTGGGGCGCTCTCAAAGTATGTGGCTGGGAAGCCAGCGTTAGGGAGGTGGCTGGGAAGCCGGGGCTGGGAAGCCTGGTGGCCGGGGGAGCTAACGAGGCTTTAATAGGCGGCTGGGAAGCCAGTTTAGGGAAAGCAGCTGACTCACCAAACCTCCAAAAAGCACCCCCTGCCTGCAACAGGCCTTGAGACGCGCTCAGTGTGCTGTGAGCGTAGAAGCTCGCCGCATTCGTAGCGCGCAACCCACTGGCTTGAACTTGGTTTGGGCGCCACAACAGCCGGGAGTTCTCCTTGCGAGAGACCTCAAACCTCACAGCTTCAAATGGTGAACTGGACACCGCGACTAGCGCACAAATATATATAAAAATATATTGTCTGTATAATTGAAATATATTGAAATGCAAATGCCAATGAAAATCGGAGATTGAAATCATTAAGTATCAAACCTGTCATTTGCCAGACCCTGCACAACTTGAGGAGGTCTCGAGTAGGTGTGACCCCCAAGCTCGACGTCGACCATGTTCATGCTCTCGCACTTCCGGATGACTTCGCGCAAAGTTGTGACTGCACCATCTTGACCGTTTTCCTGATACAAATATGGTTCTAAAAAGCTCTGGCGCTATCAACGTTATGTGATTGTCATCATCAACTTTTTACATAGACTAGTGACTAATTTCTCGGATTTGTCATCAAAGCCCCCACCTCGACAAGAAGGACCTTGCACTCATCTGAGTCAAAGTGGCATTCGACACCCTTTCCATCCGGGTGCTCATCGAGATAGGACTGCACCTTGGCATCCTGTAGCCACACCCCGGCACCATAAGTCAGCAAGGCTTCAGCGTCTGCGTGATTGAACCCATCAATGGTGTAGTCCTCCGAAGCCTCCAGGAAAAACTTGGTTCCAACACCATTGCCCTCAGAGCTGCCAATGATGTACCCTGTGAGCTCCGGGCACCATTGAAATTTGCCAAGGACTAGTGCATCATATTTGGTGTGCCAAGCGGTAGCCTCACGCGGCTCATCAGGGAAGACACTATCCCAATCCAGTGAGGCAACGGCTGGCTCAGTGGCCGCGCTTTCCGTCACAGGAGCAGGAGGTGCATTGTCGGCACGTGTCCCAAAGCAACGGTCGAACTCAGAAAGCACTTGCCGCCATTGAGGGGCTCGGACAGGATCAGCCAACCATTCAGACCGCACCTCCTTAGAAATGAAAAAGTCTGAAGCTCACCAGGATTTCATTGCGTGGGGAAAATATATTGAATAAATAGTTGACAAAGTTTACACATTTTGAATGGCATACCAAGGGTCGCGTGGCATGCAAAGAACTCCGTCCACCAATGAGCATACCTTGAGACTTGGCTCTGAGACAGGCCCGGCCATCTGATCTTCGTCAATCTCAGGCTTGTAGCGTGGGAGCCGCTCGCTCATGACACCTGAACGACTCTTCCACATGTCCATCAACTTTGACCTTGTCTGGGCAACACCTGTGGTGTAGTGCGCCTGTTTCTCTGAATGGCTGCAGCAAACAAACCCAAGGTCAACGCAGGCCCTTTCCAGGCAACCGTCGTAAAGGGTCGCGTGGACAACAACGCAAGGGGGATATTCGTCTTGATCACCGGCTTGGACTCCTCATTGGACAATTAGCAAAGCAAAAACTGGCTGCGAATTGTTGAGGCGCTTGAAACACATGAAACTAAGGGTTGAAACTTTTTGAGCAGAAAGCAAGTTGCCACTGAGCAGATCACCCAGAATGACCTTGGGAATCTCGAGGCCGCCCAACCACTGACTTGTTTCCTGCAAATCTGTGTAGTTCCTGCGGCCTTCGGCTGAAGAAACACCGCCAGTCGCAGGCACGATGAACTCGGATTCATCGATAGCACGTGGTGAAGATGAAGTCACTTGGGTTTGCCACAGCTTTGAGAAGCAAAAGGTGTTGACACCGGAACGATCCACCTTGCAAGACAGGTAATCGACAAGTTGACACTATCATCTATCATGATCATGATGGAGTGAATCAAGCAACAAACACTTTAATGATTTGGAATAAGACAAGCTCACTGCAGCAGGCCTTCTCTGCTGATCTGTTGGCCCGATGGGCGGTGCCACTCCGCGGAAGCGTCGCATCAGACACGATGAGGTAGAAGGTGAACCCGCCAGGCATATCTCTGTTGTGATGGAGTGAGGTGTGGTCAACAGGCAAGAAGAAGGACCGAAACTCCATCTGGTGAAAGAGCAGCTTGTCTTCAAGCTTCCTGACATTTGCAATGCAAAACAATTCTTTTACCAAAGTGTTTGACAGATCACGAGCAATACTTGGAGGGCCCAGCGCCTGATGTCTGATCGAAGCGCCCCGCATCCAGAACTTGAAGTGAGCAACGGAAGGGCCATCACTACGCAGGTGCCTCAAATTCCACACCCAAACATTTGACATCTGAAGGCTTCCCAGCCAGATCACCATGGCTTCCCAGCCATCAACCTCACACCCCGAAAAAGACAACTCTTTCACACCTTGAAAGTAATAATTGACTTCCCAGTCATTCATGGTAGGCTTCCCAGCCAGTCATGAAACACATAATTTTGTCTTGAGTGGCTCGTAGGGTTGCGGCTGATCAACCGTTCGCACCATGTCCCCACTTTGTTCATGTCCTTCTGAGTGAGCACCCCAATCTTTGTCAGATCCACCCAGCCAATGGTCAAGAGCTTGTCCATTGCAACCTGCAAAAGAATCAAAAAGGGTTGACGATGGATGTGTAATTATATAAACACTATTGACAACCACAATACAACCACAGTACTAGCCACAGTACGCAAAAGAAAACTGAAGGCCTGTCGCTTTGCAGCTGCCGCTTTGATGATCTTGTCAAGCTCATGTGGGAGCATCATGTCACCAATCAAGCCAGCCCAGCAATTGCTAGCCATGTACTCGTCCACAACCTTCTTGCCGACCGCAAGTTGGTTCTTCTCATGCAGCACACGCTGCACATGCTTCCGAGATTCTGCTTTCTGCTTGTCCGCGTTGTATTTGTTCATGGCCTCGCAATCGGCGGTCAAGCGGATCTGCAGCTCGTTGAACTTGGTCGCGCTGGCAGCCTCTTGCGCAGCCAAAAGATCAGCGCTTTCATCTCCTTGAAGAACCGTTGGAAGGCTAGGTGGCTCAACGATGTCTTGCCAAACGGTGAGCGACTGGACACGAAACTCGGGATTCTTGGAGGCAATCACGGCTTCAATGTCTTGATAGTAATCCCTTGGTATCAAATCAGTTTATTGCTGTTTAGCGCATGGTGGCGTATGATGATCTCTTTCAAAAAAATAAAGTACAACATGTGCATAGCAGCGAAACACATGAAAACCAAGAAACTTTGCAAGGAAAGCTGCCATGAGCTTTGAATCGACATCGCGGCTCTTGGACACCACGCGCATAGCACATTTCCGGATGTGTGCAAAGACACAGGCAAAATCTACAAGACGGTCAAAGTCGTCAGCGCAAAGGCGTGCACGGCTGCGAGCAGCTGACTTCACTCGCCGAGTGGCGCGTAGGAAAGATTTGACATGCAAATCCATCAGCATCTCTTGCGCCATCGGCGTGACAGTGAGAAGCTCATGGTACCCGTCCGGAATGTTCTTCGGCCGAGCCCCTAGGAGCCATCTGGTTGTTCTCAGCTGTTCCGTTGAGAAGGCGGAATCTTTCCATTTTGTAAATGTCAAATGCTGACTCATAATCTCTCTCGCTTCCTGCCAGGAGGTCGGCATAAAACCCAAAAAGACAAAACAATACAAACATGTAATAAAACTGGGTTTGAATTTGTTGGAAGCCTCCCAACCCTGTCCTTGCTTGTCCCAATAATGATGTTGAGAATTGTCCGCTCTTTGTCAGCATCAAGTTGATGCTTTGCATGGAGCCCAGGACTCGAGTTGAATTGGGCCACCACCTTCTTCAGCCGGGACTCTGTGTTGCCATGCTGAGTATCACTTTGACGGTCCATGACCTTGCTGAAGCGCAAAGCCATCTGCAACACAGTAGGAGCTTGTCGCTCAGCGCCCCTGAAACTGAGCGAGAGGTTCTTGAAGGACTGCATGTCTTTGTCCAATCCGGTATCAACCTTAAATATAAATAACAGAGCCGTTTATCCCTCAATCCAAACACCCAACAGCTCTCCCACAAACAGTTGCCGGAAAAATACATACGAGTGAATTAACCTAGTTGCAGTCATCGGAATGAGCCATGAGCGATCCAAGAAGTTCTCGAAAGGCTTCAGGTTCGCCCGCACCTCTGTGTCCTCGCAATCAAGCTCTGACACCATGAGGGCCACCCAAGCAACGCAGGTCATACGCGTCCACCCCTTGATCACGTCCAAGCTGTGGGTGTCAAGCTGAGACGTTGTCCGAGAGCCTCAGGCGGCCAATGCCAATAGTCAGTGACAAGTAATTACGTGGAAGATCGTGGAAGTCTTAACCACTACCTCTGATTCATGTGTGAAATTATCCCCTCACAGGCAAAGTACATGTAAAACACATCGACCCCTTGATGACCTTTGGGGCGCCTTCAATCAGGAACCCAAAGCTAGCCCATTAGATGGGTTCGTTTTATTAATTTGACACGCATGGTGGATGAGACTGGACCAATTGAAATCGGTAATACAACATGTTTTAGAAAAAAACCCCCCTCAAGATTTTCCTTTGAAGGTCTACTAGCTTAAAGGCCTTTATTCTTGGTGTGGATGCAGGAAGTCACCGGAACAATTGGGCGTAAGGTAACCATGTCTCTGGGAACAGTTTACCTTGAAAGGTCATGGTCACAATTGGATGCGCACCTCACCCCCCAATGCCAACCCTTCGAACATTTTTCACTTCATTGCGACAATGGCTCATTGGCGCTTGTGAGACGAGGGCGTCGAGAGGACCTTGGGCGTCGCCCCTAGAGGACCCGCAGGACTTGGAGCTAGCGTCGTGCCCACTTCAGGAGCAGCCGGTGGTTGAACAGCAGCAGCTCGCCACGGTGGCGGTGGTGTAGTTTCCGCCGCCGTTTCTGACTTTGCTTCTTTCGCAGGTTCTCGCTGCTCCCCTGACTTTGCAGCTTTTGCAGATGGTTCACCTTCTGGCTGCTCCTCTGATTTTGCACCATCTTCCTTCTTCTCATCCTTCATGTCGTGGTCATCCTTCATGTCACTCTCACCCCAACGCCAAGTTGAATCCTGACTGTGACCATCGCCCCACTGCCACCCATGATGATGATCCCAACCCCACTGTTCCTGCTCACCGTTCATCTTCTCATCCTTCGTTTCTTTCTCCTTGTTCTCCTTCTCGTGTGCGTTCTTCTTTTTTTGCTCCTCCTCCTCCTCCTTGATTCGCTGGGTAAGCTCAACGGCATATGCCTCCGCCTCCTCTTGGGTCCATCCCGGTGACATCTTGTTGTAGCCCTGGCCTTTGCCCTTCCCTTGTGAATCTGAAGCAGGAGGTTGAAGCGGTGCACGGTGATGAGGGCTAGATTGGGCAGGCGTACCATATCGATGCCAGTCTGTGTGATTTGCATAGACCCATCGCCACTCATCCGTCCTGTCGTTCCGCTCGAACTCACCTGCAGGGTTGAAAAATGACAAGTGTTGCCAGTAGATGAAAGAGAAACACGAAAGGTGCTATAAGAATCTTTGTGGCTGCTCACACCAAAAATATATAAAAGGGGCTTCAAAAACTTTAGAATTGAAGGTTGATACGTGACTGTGACTGTAAACGAACTGGCAAGATTAACTGCTTTCATTGATAACGCACTTTTGAATCCGAAGTCCAGCCTTCAACGGAGTTTGCGTCCACACCTCTGGAATTAGCAGCACAGGTCCGCCACTGCGCAAGCCACGTTTGGAAGTCCTTGCCCTTGCTCTTCCCTTTAGCGGTCGTTTGGTAGATGAACCGCAGCAAGTCCCGATGGTCACGTGTTTATTCTCTTTGATTCATTGCTGGGCTCAGAGCGGCGGCTTGAGGCTGCTTCTGTCTTGAGCACAACACTGCCAAAAAAACACAAACCGTGCAAAAGGTCCCTGATGATGGGCCAACTCAATTTCAATTAGGAACATTATTATTATGCACTTCAATTTTGGTGAGATGTCGAATTTGCAATTCATGCTTGATAGAGTGGGGAGCCATGACTTCTCTGTGACAATCACCCTCCCTCCTCCACCGTACCCAACCCATCCCAACCCCTCCCCAACCCTATTGCATCCAGAAAGCCCATGTCCGGCACGCAAACGCTAAGCGGCTCCCGCTGCAGCTCGATGCCGTCCATCAACATGCTAGTGCAAGTTTGTACCCAGTCCTGGATGGTCGGAAGTCCATCTTCCGGCAAGTCAAACCTCAGTAGTGCAGGAAGGCCCAACTCGAAGAAGTATTGAGGAACGGGGTGGAACCCACAACTGACTGGTTGAAACAAAATCAATTTCAACAACCATCGTGAAAACGTCTTAATGACTACTAACATCTGACAGGCTCAGGGCTTTAATCCAAGGGGCTTCAATGAGGTCAGAGGAAACTTGACGACCTCCCCCACAGAGTTTTGATCCAACGCCTGATTGATGCTTTTCCCGGGGCTCGGACGGAGATCTGAATTCAAATTGTCTTGAAATATCTTTGAAGTCAATTTCAACTTAGAACCCCACGAACTCATGAATTGGTCTGAAACTTTGAGATCGCATGGCACTGTAGCTCTCAAAGAAAGATGACAACTGCGAGGAGTAGGTCTCTTTGGAATCTCCGGTCAGTGTATCCAAGATCAACTGCCCGGGGTGCTGGCAATCAAGGTTAATTTGCTCATCAGTGAATGTCATGAGAGTGTTGACCATGTCCTGTGATGCCAAGGCCCAAGGGCCACCAAACAACAAGTGGGAAGGAAATGGAGATAGATTCCGCTTGTTTTGAATCACAAAAAGTTGAAGCGCGCGTGACAGTCCTTCAAAAGGGAGGTGTCGCCTGGCAAAGCCTTGATCTTCTTTTCGAAGTCGCTTGCCAGTCTCTTCATCGGAGATGGTGTTGCCGCGCTTCCCTCGTCCTTGATGGCGGCCAACTTCTTCTGCTCCTCATCAGGTTTTTGGACCTTCACGAGCTGCTGCTCAAGCATCCGGCACAGGGGCGCCATGGCAGGAGAGATGGGACAATCCCTGCCCCACTACAATGATGGCAGTCCCAGCCACGGTAAAGGGCAGTCCCTGCCTTTGAGCTTGGTAGTATGCATATAAAAAATCAAATCCGGTGAGCAAAATGCGCATTGATGAAACTTCTTGAAACCGATCATGTCATCAATGTACCGTGAGCCTCATGGTGCATTGAAATCAGTGGATTCCGGTCCATGACATTGATCAGCAAAGTCGGAATTAAAGGCTGCCATCAACTACAGTCATCCACAGATAGCTGTTTCAATGCACCATGAGCCTCACAGTACATTGATGACTGGGTTTGAAAATGACTTGTTCATCAATCTACTATTTGTCAAATCTCTAGACGTCTTGACCATTCCCCAGGCTCTCATTCATCAACGCACCATGAGCCTCATTGTGCATCGATGAACTTGGATCCGAAAGTGCATCGACCATTCCTGGCGCAAAAGTGCATCGATCGTTCCCGGCTCAAAAGTGCATCGACCATTCCCGGCGCAAAGGTGCATCGATGATTTCGACCGATTTCACATTCAAATATCAATTTTCAAAACTTAAGGTGAAATTGAACCCAGCCTCCAAAGGTCCAAAAGTGCATCGATGATATTGCCTCCAAAAGTGCATCGATGGTTCCGACACCGAAAGTGCATCGATGGTTCCGACACCGAAAGTGCATCGATGGTTCCGACACCAAAAGTGCATCGATGGTTCCGA